AACGCTAGTACTCATTCTTGAGCCCTTCGTGCATTTGTTCTGCAGATTTTTTTAATGGCAGGGTAGACTTTTAAAACAACAAAAGAAAATGTCACTGGAGTAGACTTAAGCTTTAGACTTAAGACAGATTTCATTCCTTAGCTTAGACTGGATTACATCCACTAGTCCCGTCACTTCTTAGAAGCAATGCTCTGTCAGAGCAGTGGTGGGGATTTATGGCCTACCACATCCTTAATTATCTCCCACCTCTGATAGTACTGAAACACTGCTCACACAAAGAACAGGATAGGGAATGGGAAGAAAACAGAATTGTGTTTACAAATTCAGGAATTTATTAGGCTAATGTTTGTAAAGTAAGGTATAAATAATCCAAAAGAGTGAAGGTTCCAAAATCTATATTTGCCCTTGTGTTTATATGCTTATGTCTGATCATTTACTTCAGTTAATGTATATGGTTTCATTCACTAAATATTAATTAAATACTTCATGCCAGGTGCTAGGTAATAAATATACACATAAAATGAAGAAGGAGTAACTGCCTGCAAAGATTTTATCCTCTGGTAAGGAAAACCAGAGAAGAGACAAAATTTTATAAAGTAAGTAAATATCATAGAATTTTAAGAAAAAAATGTGCATGTATTTAGGTATATATATTACCGGAATGGGTCAAACAGCTACCAGATAAGATTTTCAAGAGCTTTGCCTTGGTTAATTTTCATGTACTTGATCTGGTCTGCTTCCTAGAAAATTCAGAATCTGATTTTTTTCTTTCAGCACATTAAGCATGAATCTACCTGTGGGACATCAACTTATATTAACTGAGCTTATCAACACTAATGTATAGCCCAGAATTTTAATTAGCCAATTTACAATGACATTGTCTTATAGATGATGGACAGAGGACCTGAGATGACTCAGCCAGCTCACTCTGCTTCTGAAGACACATCTACCACATTCTCAATCTTGGTTATACTCAGAAGAGTGTTTAGATGAGTATAGAATCAAAATTAGGGGAATTGTTTTAATGCAACACGTGTTTGATGACTTCAGACTGTAACAACCTGACTATCCACCTTCACATTAGAGACAGATGCTAAAAAGACCTAAATAGTTAAGACAACGGTCAGCATACCCCCAGCCAAGGCAAAGACATGCTTTTCCTGCTGACCAAAGTGTATCTTCATTAACTAAATTTTTAAGTTTAAAGAAGAACTAATACCAATTCTACTCAAACTCTTCAAAAAAAAAAAAATTGAAAAGGAGGGAATACTTCCAAATTCATTCTACAAGGCCTGCATTACCCTGATAACAAAACCAGACAAGAACACAACCAAAAAGAAAACTGTGAGCAAATATCCCACATAAATATAGTGCAAAAATTCTCAACAAAATACTAGCAAGCCCAATTCAAGATCTCACCATGACCAAAAGGGGTTCATACTAGGGATGCAACCATGGTTGAATATATGCAAATCAATGAAAGTGATACATCACATTAACAGAATGAAGAACAAAATCCATATGATCATTTCAATAGATGCTTTAAAAAGCATTTAATAAAAGTCAACACCCCTTTATTAAAAAAAAAAAAAGACACCTTATCAAACTGGGTATAAAAGGACCATTCCTCAAAATAATAAAGGCCAAATATTACAAGCCAACAGCTAAAACATACTGACCAAGGGAAAATTGAAAGCCTTTTTTATAAAATCTAAAGCAAGGCAAAGATGCACACCTTTACCATTTTAGTCAATATAGGACTGGAAGTCTCAGCCAAAGCAATTTGGCAAAAAAAGAAAAAAAAATGAAGGGTATCCTAACTGGAAATGAAGAAGTCAAGTTAGTCTTACTTACAGATGACATAATCTTATATTAAGAAAAAAAAAAAATAAACAATCCACCAAAAAACCATTGGAACTGATAAATTCAGTGAATTTGCATGATACAAAATCAACATACAAAGATCAGTAGCATTTCTATATGCCAACAGCAAAGAATCTGAAAAAATAAATCAAGAAAGCAATCCCATATACACTAGCTACAAAAAATATAAAATCCCTAAGAATCAATTTAACCTAAAAAAATAAAGATCTATAAAAGGAAAACTATAAAACACTGATGAAAGAAATTGAAGAGAACACAAAAAAATGGAACACTGTCCCTTGCCCATAGATTGGAAGATTTAATATCATTAAAATGAAAATACTACCCAAGGCAATTTATAGATTCAGTACAATCCCTATCAAAATACCAATGATTTTTTTACAGAAATAGAAAAAAAAATCCTAAAATTGATATATAACCACAAAAGACCCCAAATAGTCAAAGTAATGGTGAGCAAAAAGAACAAAGCTGGAGACACTACACTACTTGACTTCAAAATTTACTAAAAAGCTATAGTAATCATATAAGCATGATACTGGCATGAAAACAGACACAAACCAATGGAACAGAATAGAAAACACAGATATAAATCCTCACATTTACAGTCAACTCATGTTCAACAAAGGTGCCAGAACATACAATGGGGAAAGAACAGTCTCTTCAACAAATGGTGCCGGGAAAATTATGTAATTATACACAGAAAAATGAAATGAGACTGTCTCTCGCCACACACTAAAATCAAATCAAAATGGGTAAAATATTTAAATTTGAAACATAAAAATATACGACTACTAGATGAAAATATTGAGGAAACATTCAGGACATTCGTCTAGGCAAAGTTTTATGTAAAATCTCAAAAGCACAGGCAAGCCAAATAGAAATAGACAAAGGGGATCACATCAAGCTAAAAGGCTTCTGCACAGCAAAGACACAATCAACAAAGTGAAGAGCAACCCACAGAGTGGGACAAAATATTTGCCAACTATTTATCTGACAAAAGATTAATAAACAGAATATATGAGAAGCTTCAACAAATCAATAGCAAAAAACATAATTTTATTTTAAAATGGGCCAAAGATCTGAATAGCCATTTCTAAAAAGAAGACATTCAGCAGATGTCTTGGCCAGGTGCAGTGGCTCACGCCTGTAATCCCAGCACTTTTGGATACCAAGGTGAGTGGATCACCTCAGGTTGGGAGTTTGAGACCAGTCTAGCCAACACAGAAAAACCCCTTCTATACTAAAAAATACAAAATTAGCAGAGCGAGGTGGCACATGTCTGTAATCCCAGCACTTCTGGGGACCAAGGTGAGTGGATCATCTCAGGTTGGGAGTTTGAGACCAGCCTAGCCAACACAGAAAAACCCCATCTATACTAAAATACAAAATTAGCAGAGCGAGGTGGCACATGTCTGTAATCCCAGCTACTCAGGAGGCTGAGGCAGGAGAATCACTTGAACCCAGGAGGTGGGGGTTGCGGTGAGCCAAGATAACTCATTGCACTCCAGACTGGGCAACAAGAGTGNAAAAAAAAAAAAAAAAAAAAAAAAAAAAAAAAAAAAAAAAAAAAAAAAAAAAAAAAAAAAAAGACATACGCATAGCCTACAGATATACGAACAAATGCTCAACATCATTAATCATCGGAGAAAAGCAAATCAAAACCACAGTAAGCTATCATTTCATCCCAGTTAAAATGGCTTTTATCAAGAAGACATGAAATAACAGATGCTGGCAAACATACAGAGAAAGGACAACCCTCATACACTGTTGGTAAGAATATAAATTAGTACAGCCACTATGAAGAACAATATGGAGGTTCCCAAAAAAACTTAAAACAGAACTACCATATGATCCAGCAATTCTACTATTGGGTATATATCCAAAAGAAAGTAAATCAATACATCAGAAAGACATCTGCACTCCATGTTTATTGTAGTACTATTCACAATAGCCAAAATATGGAATCAGTATAAATGTCCATTAACAGATGCATGAATATAGAAAATGTGGTACATATGCACCATGGAATATTATTTGCGCATATAAAAGAGTAAAATTCTGTCATTTGAAGCAACATGGGTGGAACTGGAGGTCTTTATGTTAAGCGAAATAGGCCAGGGACATAAAAACAGATATTGCATGCTCTCATTCATATGTGGGAGCAAAAAAAGTGTATCACATGAAGATGGAGGGTAAACTCGTGGTTACCAGAGGCCAGGAAGGGTGGGGAGATGGAAGGGGAAGAGAAGTCAATTAATGAGTATAAAATTACAGTTTGATAGAAGAAATAAGACCCAGTGTTAGATAAATTAGTGGCTTGACTATTGTTTACAATAATCTGTTGTACATTTCAGCCAGCTAGAAGAGTTGAATAGTTCCAGCATAAAGAAAAGACAAATATTTAAAGTGACAGATATCCCAATTTCACCGATTTGATCTTTACAAATTATGTGAATGTATTAGATTGTCATATGTGCCTCCAAAACTATGAATATCTGTTATGCAACAATTCTTCAATTTTGTCTAAAGTTGTGTGTGTGTGTGTGTGTGTGTGTGTGTGTGTGTGTTCTCACAGTAAGCTATGGGCTCTTCAATGTTTTCTGCCAGCATGGTGTCATACCAAAAGACATTTTAGTTTTGCATCTAAAATACTTGAAAAATAACTTAAATATTTATAATAGCCACTTGCAAAAAAATTATAAAGAAATATATTTAGTGGAAAATCTTTTTTTTTTTTTTTTTGACAGAGTCTCACTCTGTCACGCAGGCTGGAGTATAGTAGCGCAATCTCGGCTCACTGCAACTTCTATCTCCTGGGTTCAAGCAATTCACCTGTCTCAGCCTCACAAGTAGCTGGAATTACAGGCATGCACCACCACACCCAGCTAACTTTTGTATTTTTAGTAGAGACGCGTTTCATTACATTGGTTGACCAGGCTGGTCTCAAACTCTTGACCTCAGGTGATCCGCCTGCCTCAGCCTCCCAAAGTGCTGGAATTACAGGCATGAGCCACTGTGCTCGGCAGTGAAAATTCTTAAAAGTGCTTTAGCTCATTTACAGTAGTCATTCCATCTCTTACACCTACAATTCTCCCTTACCCCAGATAAATACTTACCTCCCTCACTTAGTCCCTTCAAACCAACAACGCTTCTTCCTCACTCCACTTTCTTTTTGGTCCTTTTCCACATCAAATCTGGCTGTTATTCCAATGAGCATCCGTGCCCTTTAGCGTGTCTTCCCCACTAATCTGTAGGCAGAGTGAGAGAAATAACCATGTCTTTCTTCTTTCCCTGTGCATCCCAGTGTGAAGAAGAGTATGCTAAATATAGTTGTTGTTCACTGACCACATTCTCTCTCTCTCTCTCTCTCTCTCTCACACACACACACACACACTCATTCCTACATACAATGTTTTACAGAATTTAATTAATCCTCTATATACCTTGCAATCACATTGTACACCATGAGCAATTTTCTAAGTCATTACAATTATTTTCTACAGATAACTTCTTACTGGTTGCATAATATTCCACTATAGAGCTAATCCATAACTTTATCACTTCCCTATCTGGATTTTTTTTACTTTTGTCCGCATATATAATGCAGCAATAAATATCATTGCACATAACTGTCTATCTAAGATATTCCCTTAGAATAATTTTCTAAAAGTAAGACCGTTGGACTTGACTCAATATGAACTTTTTAAGGTCTCAATATAGACTGCCAAGTTGCTTTATAGAACAGTTACAACAATTTCATTCCCACTGCACATAAATGTGCTCTACTCCCTGAACCCTTATTTACACAGGGAATTGGAGTTTTTTGCTTTTATCTTCCCAAAATCAAAATTTAAGAAGTAATATATTTATTTTGGATATTTTATTACCTTCAATAGCACTGACTTGACCTGGGAGGCAACATGTATTAAATCCTATACAATAAATTATACAGTTAAAATTTCCAAGGTGTCCCTATATCCCCTATTTCCAAGATGATACCTTACATTTTTTGGAACAAGGTGGAGTATAAATGAATGCATCCTCCAAGTTCTTAATGTGCACCTCACTAGTGCTGCCAGGAGAGATAGTAGAAGACTATCCCATGTGTAATAGAAACATGTAAGAAAAACTTTGGAGACAACACAGAAGATGTTTTGGAGAAGAAAAATAATCAAAAGGAGTTTTTAATGAATGTTATTTAACAGGTAGACAATGAAGGTAAATGAATATGCTAGACTATTACAGTAGTGCATCAATGAGTCACATATCCTGGCATCTGGGTCCTTTCTTTCTTTTCTTTTTATTTTTTTAGAGATGGGGTCTCGCTGTGTTGCTCAGACTGGCCTCAAATTCCTGGACTCAAGCAATCCTCCCACCTCAGCCTCCCAAAATGCTGGAATCAAAGGCATAAGCCACCATACTCAGTCTCAGGTCCTTTCATAGTCCCTTCCCACACTGACTCTGAGCTTGGTTCATGACCTGCTTTGGCTGAGGAAACATCAGCAAACACAACAGAGCAGAGCCTTTATAAGTACTTGTCCAGTGGGATTTGCCCACCATCATGTGAAAATTCACAGGTGAAAGACACAAAGAGAAAGAAGTTTAGTCATTCCAATCCCAACTGAGGCACCAGACACATGAGTAAGCCCATGTTATACCATCTAGTCCCAGCCAAGCTGCCAGCTGACTGCAGCCACATGAGTGAGTACAAAGGAGACTAATCAAAATATCATCCAGTCACATTAGTGTCATTTTCAGTCACATATTTAGGTGGTTTGTTGTGTAGCAATTGATAACTGATCCAACACACTCTAGGATAAGAAATGGCACTTGTCCAGCACTTACTAAATTCTTAGAGTGCACAAATCTGAGAGAAAGACTTGCATATTAAATCAAGATAACTATGTCGTGTGGAAAGAGCTGTAATATTTGATAGGTAAGGGCACAAAAAAAAGGAGTTCTCTGCTTTGATTAGTCAAAGACTTAACAGAAAAGAAAATACATGAATTTTGTCTTGAAAGATAACCCAGCTGACTAAGAAGACAAAGACTCAAATAGGTACAGAAAACAATGAAGGTGTTGAGGTGAGAAACCAACAGGCTATTCAGGAGCCTGTATATGATTTTATCCCGTAAAAGTAACAGTGGGTATTAGAGAGAATCAAAAGATGGAAGCACTTTAGACTCAGATAAGGATTAAGTAAATTCTTAGTACCCCATTTTATAGATTTTAGGTGAGAGTGTCAGAAGAGAAGTCAGTCTATGCTCTTAAATCTAACTATTTTGCCTCTCTAAAATTTCCAATATATTTCTGCAGTATCTAAATGCATCAGTGGTCTGTAAGCTGTCACATTTAAATTTGATCATAGGTGATAAGGTATTAATGTTGGGGAAAGAATTCAGCAGTGTTAAGATCGTACCTTACCTTGGATAGCTCAGAAGTCCATTCCAGTAAATTCCTCATTGTATGTCTAATATCTAACCATCTAATTCAGCAAAAGTTTAGAAAAATGTTCTTAAGATTATTATGGAAATTTGATATGACAACCCACGAAAAAGTTTAGCAAGATTTGGGAAATGAATATAGAGATATGAATGATATTTACCAAACATGAAACCGGCAGCAATAGCCTTTAAAAAGTTGTACTAGTTGTTTATATTAATGATAGGATTAGATCTAACATTGCTTTAAACAAGCCACACAATTTTTTGATATACATATACTTGAGAGTAAAATGAAGTAGCAGCAGCATCTAATCCTTAGCTGACAAGAGCAAATTAATTATTAAGTCTCTAAATGCTATTTCCACATAAAGGCAGGATCTTACATTAGTAATAGCATAATGTAAAAAAAATGAAAGAATAATGTGAAGACAAAGTCAAAATTTAATTTGTAGTATCCATGCTGGTATTGGCTGCCCAGCCACTTTTGGTGTTTGTAAAAAAAAGAGAGCCATAACTTGTAATTTGATCTTGGAAAATGTGCAATGCAGCAACCTTCAAGATCTGGCCCTTCACAGAGATACACACTGTGAACATTAACTGACACCAGAATAGATTGAGTTCCCCTTAACCTCATCAGCTGTTTATATTTACAGAGGAGTCTCCTTTTACTCTAGATAAGGAATGACAGATCATGCAACAAATTAGTGAGGGTCAATAGAACAAGAGTCAGCAGTTAATCGATTGCAGAGGAAAGCTTCAGTGAAAGAAGACAGACCCCTGTTTTCTCAGGATAATCAAATGCCTGACTCATGTAGACTCATAAAATTGACTTTTTTTGTTTTTGTTTTTGTTTTTGGTCTAATTGACTGATGCCTGGGTATAAAATAAGCCTTAGGTGTCCTCAAGATAAGACTTAAAACTATACTAGTAAAGCCTGACATCTAATTACTTTTGTACCACATGAAAAACAGCCCAGTGAAAGGGATGGATGTCTTTTTCACCAAGACAAGCCCTTGCTTTGAAAGAATCAAGGAGCTCTATATAAGCCCTATTGAGAACACCTTCTATAAGTCATGTCAATGAGATAAAATTTTAGCTATAAACAGTAAAGATGAAGCTATAACTACAAAATACATTGCACACATAACTATCACTCTGAATTCTGTTTTGCCTATTCAAAACTGATCATACTATGTCACTTTATAACTTTAGATTCCATTTTAAATCACAGAATATCAGACTTAAGAGGGACTTTAGAATTTTTGTAGCCCAATAAATCACCCAAAAATCTCATATACAGTATCTCTGAAGATCACACATAAATATACATGATGAAAAGAAAGAGAATAAAACAGATTATTAAAATTTAAAAAAACTCAAATCAGCCCATTTCATTTTTGGATAGTTCTAATAATAAGATTCTCCCATAAATTTGGGCTAAAAAAATTCCTGAAATTTTACTCAGTAGCACCTTCTGGAAATTCATATAGTTAATCTAAGACATTTGGTTTTGTGTGTATACCAAGCTTTATAACTGAATTTGTTACATTTTGCTCTTGTGAAACTTTTAGTATTTGTTATTTAAGGAAATCACAAATCAATTTCTATCTTTATATACTAAGATTTTTCAAATATTTAATATATATTCTCAAAATGTGTAGTTTTTAGGTATTTTTTATCCAATACCTCCATTAGTAAATATTTTAAGTACACTCTCAAATATATATGTATTTATATATATATAAATTATACACATTTTATACTATTAAATTAGTATAAGACATATACCAATATAAATTTTTAATAATGTCATTTAGAAAAATAGTTCTAAACCACCCATTAAACATGTTAGGTTATACATACACATTTATCACTATCCTCATCCTAAACCTATAAAAGTGACAGTAAAAGATTTAGAGATGACAAAAAACTGAAATCTTGTAAGTCATGGAGGGAGAGGGCTTATTCAGAGAAGTGACATAACCGGAAAGGCAGCAAATCAATTCACAACAGAAATTTGCAGGAAGACTTAGAGCTACAGACCCAGGCCTGTTGCAGTACCAGACCAGCTCCCATGGACTCAGACTTCAGGATAGCACCCAAGGACCCAAACCCCAGGTCCATCCTCATGAACCCAGATGTCTTCCAGAGGAATGTGCCACCAGGGACCCAACAAACTATGGAACCAAACCAGAACTTATACCCCCAGGCTCCTGGCTCGCCCTCAAAGACCTAGACACCATACATGTCAACACAGACCCAACTTCAGGCCTACTCCCGTAGAACCAGGACCCAGGATCACACCAGATAATTCAGCCACTAAGCTGGCCCCTGTGGACCCAGGAACCAAAACCACATACCTACTGACTCAGACATCCAGCAAGTCCACCCAAGGACTTCAGTAGCAACCATAGACTTGAACCCCACCAGCCAACTCACCAAGAAGCTCTGAATGAGCTTACTGGTGAAGGGCTTTACCTGCCAAACCCAGTCTTCAAAGACTGGAATAGATGCCTACTTTTTCAAGTGAAAACACCAACACAAGGCAATGAGGATAATGAATAATACGACCAACAAAACAAAATAAAGCATCAATAACTGACCTAAACAAATGTTGATCTATGAAGTGAGTGGCAAAGAACTCAAAATAATTATCTTAAAGAAGTTCAGTGAGCAGGAGAACATAGAAAGACAACTAAATGATATCAGGAAAACAACACTTGAGCAAAATGAAAAGTTCTACAAAGAGAATCCATAAAAAAGAACCAAACAGAAATTCGGGAGCAAAAGAACACAATGACTTCACTGAAAAATTCCATAAGGAGCTTCAATAGCAAACTCAGTCAAATGAAAGAAATAATCAGGAAGCTCAAAAATAGGTCACTTGAAATTACCCACCCAGTGAGGGGCCAAATGGGAAAAAAAAAATAAAAAGAAAAGAAATCTATGGAACACCATCAAATAAACTAACATACATGTGGTGAAAGTTCCAGATGGAGCAAA